TGTAACAAACAATGGTGGATGTTGGCAGGATAAGGATGCTAACATCACTGCATGCCGGGTATGGAACCATTTCAGTTGAATGCTTCTGGGAAAAATAAAATAAAATAAAATTTCTTGTGTTTTTAGAGTTGAATATGGTTGGATCTCTTCTAGTTTTTTTCTCTAATTTTAAGAGACTTCTTGTAGGATACTTTTCGAGGAAGACTGTGTCAATATCCTATTGTGCAAGGTGTAAACTTTGTTGGTGATGGTTAAACTCATTGTGAAGGTATGTATTTATTCAAATTATGAGTGTAAGTTTTGCTCCTTTTGGTATATTGCTCAAGAGACAATAGACCAACAAATCTAGCTAGGAAAATCATTTCTTGAAAAGTTGTGGCAGTAGTTTCCCCCTTTTTTTAGTTAAATCAAGTAAAAAGGCCCCCTTTTTTGTTTCACCCTTTTTTTTTTCAGTGCCATCATCATAAAAAAATTATCACCATGCCTGATATCTCACAGGATGCTCCATTAAGGAATTTTGATTTTCATGTCTTCTCACTTTTGATGAAACAAGAGAATATTTGGCTGAAAATGTCTAGCAAAATAGATTTGATTGTTAAGTTGCTGATTTTTGTGATTGTGCTGTTATAAACAGATCTCGTAACATCAGTTTGATTCATTGTGGTTCTGATGTCATTAATAACAATGTAACTCTTAAATTTTTGTGGCAACCTTTTTTTTTTTTTTTTTTTTTGAGTTCTGGATGAAGCCAATTTGTATCAATTCAGCTAGAATTTAGGAGCTTAGTTTCATGTTGAGAATTATTTTTTGAATTCTCGTCTATGTTGGTCTTTGATACGAAGAATTGTTTGAGTCATACCTTTCATCAAGCTCTATTGAAGAAAAGCACGATCATGAAGAACACAAATTCAGAAAATTAGCAGAGTAGAAGAACAAGTAGAGAGGAATTTTCTCTCTTTCTCTCTCTCTCTAGCTCTGTGAAGTTTCTCTCTCTAGGATACGAATACGAATATGAATACGAAAGTGCGTCTATTTGTCCCAGCAATACCTAGTTCGGCTGATATCTACGTTTAGCCATAGTTGCTTGTGACAACCCTCACCTCTGATTAGTGCTAATCTGTGTTTTCGCATGATAAGTAATTGATCAGACTGAAATTCTGAACCGAACGCATGAGTGTATTGTTTTAAATGCATTTATATCTGTTTGATTGTCGAATGATCTGTTCATGTTTTAAGTTTCGGACTGCGAATCGAAGGCCTTATCGGCGACCGAATCAGAAATTGATTAGTATTTTATGCTTATTAGAATTTATGAGATTTTATGGTAAGTTTAATTGAAATCTAATTTGGAATAATTAGATTAGAATTATTTTGTTATATTATATCAACTTGAACTATTTGCATTTTTGCCACTAGTGGGCATTTAGTCCACTAATTGTTTTTAAATCATTTTGTGCATCATCTCATCCTTTCCTCAGACCAAATCGAGAGAGAGAGAGGGAGAGTAGGAGAAAAACTTGAGTTCATCTAGATTTTGACTTGAAATTAGAGGAATTGTAGGAAGATTGCAAAATTGAGCTAGTACACTTGAGATTCAAGGCTTAAGGTAGGTAATTCACCTTCTTGATTGTGAATTTAAGTTATTTCTTGTATGGTTCATGGTAAATTAGTGTTTAGAATCAAGAATTGGTTTAAAGTGTTGAGTTGAGAGTGAATTCATGCATGCATGTACATGTTCTTGAATTTGGAGTTGTTTTGCATGGAATCCTCACATGCATGTACATATCATGAAGTTCAAGGTTGTTTTCCATGAAATTCTTCCATGCATGTCTAGATTATGGATGTAATCTAAGAATTCATCATGTTTTTGGAGTCTTGGCTCATTTGATCATGTGTTAGAAGCTTTGATTTCAAATAAACACATGCATGGCATATTTACATCTTGTTCTTGAATTTTGAGTTGAATTGGTGTTCAATTGGTTTACTTTTGGGCCTTGATTTTATTAAATGATCTTCAAAATGTGTTGTATTATGAGTTTCCAAGTGTTTTCCAGAAAATTGGCCCAAAAGGTTGAGTTTTGACATGTTTGATTCTTGGTTTTATGCTTGGGGATCAATCTGGAAATTCCAGATTTTGGATCCACGCTCGAGCGAAGGACTTCACGCTCGAGTGTACACTCTGAGTACATGCACTTCCGCTCGAGCGTATAAAGCCACGCTCGAGCGTGAAATGCATATGCCCAGAAGTTCATATGTTTTGCAGTCTGCTCGAGCGGAGGTCGAGCGTCCATCGAGCGTGAAAATCGTGCATCCAGTACTTTTTCATGAGTTTACAGTCCGCTCGAGCGAGGGAAGTCACGCTCGAGCAGAGCTCCTTTGTCTGCATGTCCGCTCGAGCATAGAAAGCCACGCTCGAGCGAGACCCCTGTTTCAGCAAAAAATAATTTCATCATTCGTAATTTTAGAACGTACACAATAGATGCATTGTGCGTAACTTTACAATATAACATACACTATAAATATCCATTACTTTCGGTACAAAAAATTATAACTATTTTGTTAAGCAAAAATTATCGTATGAATCAGGAAGATCACGTGACCATATGTTAATCTAATGAGATCATGTCATTTCTTCACTATTTTGTTATTTTTAGTGCCATATAATTCTTAACTCCCCTGTTATTAGTTGGTCACACTACCAACGTAAAATTCTTAAAAGCCTGAATAATTATACACACTATAAATTTATCCGTAAAATAATTATATGTCTCCTTGCTCTATTTTGTGGGCATGGAACCACGTAATAACTTAGGCTTAGCAAATAACTGTTTAGAATTAGCTGCTATACTTTCAAACTATTGATTTAAGCATTGGGTTCCTAATATTCTCAGTCAGCCAAATTGCCAACGCTCAACTGGAGATCAAACAAAACCCTGGTTTTAGAGCAAATTATACTTTACACTCATACGCCCTTACACTTTACATCTAATCTCACTTTATTCTCTATCTTTTTAATTATATCAATCCCTTAAACTGTGTTTGGTTCATAAATTTGGAGAGAGAGATTTTGAAACAAATAGGGAAAAGGGGTGTGAAATTAAGATCTCCTTTTTGAGACTTCAATGCCACAACCACTTCCTCTTCTGAAAATGTCTTTCTAACCAATCCTTATCAGTGGTCACGATGCCACCAAAGTCCAGCCCATCCTCCTGGATCTGAGTAAAGCTCCTCATAGGAATCCTCTGTACTAGTTCTAATCTTCTCAACCGTCCACACCCTAGCCCCAATAGGAATTTTGCCTAGTATGAGCATTAGCCATTCTTTAAGAAAAATGGGTATTTCCAGCACCCTCTTTAAGCCATAAAGCCTTAGCCTTCTGGTTTTATCTCGTTTTCTCCATCTTTGCAATGCTACCAAATTCTTCTTTCAAGTACTCTCTATGCCCCTTTGCGATAATGAGATTACGAACACTCTCAATCTCATTAAAGGCCTTTGTGTCCTTAAGAGCTGTTGGCTTTTGAATCCTGATTCCATTTCTTCAATTTTTCATCCTATTGAACTCTCTGTACTGTGATAAAATATTTTTTCTACTTTTCAAGTGGTTGAAGGTTCATAAAATTCTGAACTCGTCAAAAATAGTGGATCTACTGTTATTGAAGGTGGTAAGCTTTTTACTTTTAACTTTTAAAATGTAGCTGTTCAGTGTTGATCTTTGCTTCCAAACATAATCTCAAACCTTAACCCGATTGTTTTTGTTGCACTGGATGTGTTTCACAGAGCCTCGTCTTCTGTTGAATTTTTTAATACGCCTTCAGTCATTGTCGTTTTCAAGATTAACGAGTGGGGGATTGTTGCCCAACTATCTTTTTGGAAAGATACATCGGCATACCGTTTTCTTTCTTTTCGGCTTTTCTCTGTCGCTTCTTCTTCTTCTTCCTCTTCCTCTTTATAATATGAAACCTTAATTTGGTATATTACTTGGGCTTAAGCTTTTGGGCCATGTTGGTAACTTGGTATACCCACTCTGTTCAATTTGTTTGGCCAGTAGGTTACTTGGGGTGTGAAAATTCTTCAAATTGGACTTGACATGTACAGTGGCAGCACTCTCTTCATTTTGGAGACAAAAAGTTAAATCTCTTCAATGGAAATATTGACTAATAATTTACTTTCATTTCAAGCTCTATGTTCTTAGTGTTTATGCTTACAGCTTTGTAACCTATAAAGCCAGAATTTTTTCCTTTGTTAACTGTAGTCTATAGTTAGTAACCTATAGTTAGTAACCTATAAAGCCAGAATTTTTCCCTTTAGTTAGTAACCTATAAAGCCAGAATTTTTCCCTTTAGTTAGTAACCTATAAAGCCAGAATTTTTCCCTTTAGTTAGTAACCTATAAAGCCAGAATTTTTCCCTTTAGTTAGTAACCTATAAAGCCAGAATTTTTCCCTTTAGTTAGTAACCTATAAAGCCAGAATTTTACTCAAATTGTACTGAAGTAAGGTCAGAGGAAGACACAAATCTTGGTTGTGTGAAAGTTATTGTGTTGGGTGGTTTTGATGATGAAACTCGATTTGGGATATAAATTTCAAGGAATGGTGTAGGGCGTTACAAATTGGGAATAAGATTTGGAAACGCGAGAGGTTTGTTTAATCCTTGTCTACTTTGTTAAACAAGGTTTTTAATTAAATAAATCATCCAGAAAACTTCCCCCCTTTCTCTTTCTCTATCTTCCCATGTTTAAGTAGGCAAAGCATATAGAGTAATAAAATTGAAACAAAGGTATGGGAAGATTGTAACTGTCTTGGCATCTGATTATCAAAAATATTATTTTTGCTATCTCTGCATATGATTTAATTTTGTCTGACATCATCACTTGTTGGGTTAAGGGTTGTTAATGTCTCTAGTTCTCAACCTTTTCTTTTCACTTATATCTGCTGGTTATTATTATTTTTTCCATTGTTAACTGTAGTCACCTACTTTTGCATTTATTAGGGGGAAAAAGAAGAAGGTATTCTTCATTTTGTTTAGCAGTTTCGTTGCAATATATCCTGTCCTGGCGAATTATCAGCATTGCCTTTTTATTTTTTGACTACTCATATACCTTAAAATTGTTCTGTTTCAACTGGTGTCAAATCAAAGTTATTCATGGTTCCACCCCAACTTGAGCATCTGTTTGAGTAACTCATTATGGTAAGTACATAAATGACAAATCTTTGCAGCTAGGCCTATGAGTCTATGACTAAGAGTGTAAATCTTATGATCAACTTGCATGATAGGAAGTAAATGCATAGGTTCATTAGTAGAAAACTTAGATGCAATGGCTGGATGTAATTTGTGCTAGGGCTTTTTAGGAGAGCTGAAAACCCCTTTTAGATAAACATAGAAGTTTGATCAAAGAGGGGGTATTATTAGTCATTGCAATATCGTTCATTGTTTCGTTTTGAACTTGATGTTTGTTTTGTGCTCTCTTCTTTACGAACTTTGTTAGTGTATATTCCTGTCCTTGGTTGACATAACATATTTTGTGTATCTCCCAATTTCAGGTGTCGTTTTTGCTTGGAATCATCACAATATTTCACCCTGAACTCAAATAATTCTTGTGATCATAATTGCAGGAACAGAATTCATGAAGTGTTCTAATTCTTGACATGGACAATGTGATTACTATTGACAATGTGATAAAATTTTGTTAGTTATTTATTTATTTAATAGGCCCTATTTGGTATTGTTTTCATCATTTAAAAAAATTCAATAAGTAGATTTAAAGTGTTTCATAAAAAATAGGTGTTTACCATTTTTTTTCCCAAACGTTTGGACGATCAATTTATTATTATTATTATTATAGCAAAGTTATTTTTGCGTTGTTAGTTATTTGTATAATTGTTCAAATCAATTTGTTGGAAATTATTAATTTCACAGTTCTTTTTTATGGATTCACAGCCCTGTCTCTGACACAACCCTCTCTCTCATATAGCAGGCTCCACCATGTGAGAGAGAGGTGCTATGGATCCGATCTGCCAAAGAAAAGTGAATTTATCAATATCCCAATTTATTGTATCTTGGAGTTTAGATAGTTGTTTTAAAATATTTAGTTATTTTTTTCCTTTTCCTTCCGCCTTTCCTCTCTCATTTAGTGTTTTACTGGCAGGCATTCTGATATCAGTTTGGTTGAGTTGGCAAATGAAACAGTTAAAGAAGATGACAGAGCCGTTTTATTGGAGGGGGGAGGTCTCCAGTCAGCTTCTCCTAAAGCTTGGAGTTCACTTGTCACATCTCACATTGTCAGTTTAGAAAAAATAACTTTTCCATCTTTGATTATTTATGAGGAATATGAACGGGTTAATTTAACATTCTTTATGTTCTTTAACTTTTCAGATTTCTTCTAATGGATGAGACTTTCTTGCTAGAAAATCGATTGACACTCAGAGCCATGTAAGTCTCTCATCGTCACAATTTAAAACCATAAGTTTTGGAGCTTTGTAAGTTTGAAGGACATGGTTAGAAAGCTGACTCTCATTTTTCTTCTTATTGTTCTCTCTCCCTACAGATCTGAATTTGGTGTCCTTTTGATCTACTGTTACTTATGTGACCGTACAATTCTCTTCGGTGAATCAAAAAAGGTTTTGCCAATGCCCTTATCTTATAATTTATACTTTTCATTCCGCGAGTTCGTTACTTTCTTTGGTGAAGTATGTGTTAGACCAATTTTAAATCTTAAAAAGAAAAGTTCAATGTGAAAAATATAGAAAGAGGAATGGGTGGATATCACATTCTTTAACAACTTTGAAATGTTATTTTAAAATATATATATATCCCAGAACTTTACGAGGAAGTGAAAGGATTAGCGAGGTCATAACCTGATCCACTTATATGGGCATAACCTAATGAACCAACACTCATAGAAATGAGAGATAACAAAAGCAAAATTACACGTCGACGGACTAGCTGCTATCAGATGCTTCTGTCTCTCTTCTGTTTCCTTGGATGTGTAACCAAACAATTAGGGAGGACTTCACCTCTCCACATAAAATTCACAATGGCCAGGATATACAGTTATTGTTTTCTGTATCTATTTCAGTTATAATTGGTCCATCTGCATCAAAGTTGTGTCCAATGAGCTTGTCTTTTAACCATAATTTGTTTTTGCAGAGTTACAATCAGGATCTTTTCTTATTTCTCTACTTCTTTCTCATCATAGTTTCAGCAATTACTTCTTTCAAGATTCATCATGATAAGTCACCAATCTCAAGAAAATCCATACTGTATCTGAACAGGCATCAAACTGAAGAGTGGAAAGGTTGGATGCAGGTTAGTCAGTTTTTAAGATGACATGTCTATTTCTTAGAATTGTCTAATTTATTGTTACTTGTTTTCAGTGTAAAAGAAACAATTTATTTCCTGTGTTTGTTTCTAGTCTCTTGTGATTTGTTTGGAAGTTTGAACTCTAATCAATATAATTCCCTCCCACTCCTTTGTGTTTCTCTACCTGAAAACACTTCCTGTCTTGTCTGCATCTTATAGTCAATCCATAGAAAATATATTGGTAGTTGATAAAGAGAAGTAACTTTGAGATGGGAAATTGCAGTTGGAAATGGTTAGAGAGAGAGAGAGAGAGAGAG